TATATATATATATATATATATATATTTATTTATTTATTTATTATTTTCCAAAAATGGTCAATAATACATTAAAAATGGGTTGTAAACTAGCTTTAAATAATTTATCTGGAACAGATTAATCTGACTTTTTCTGAATGTTCAAATTATTACTATCTTATTATTATTTGCATGTGTAATTTTAATGTTTATTGTAGTAAAAGTAGTTTCCTTCATGTGTGCAGCACCCCTTTGTAAGTAGTGTGACTGACAACCAACCCCTGCGGGAGCTCATCGCAGAGGCCAAGGCGGAGGTCACAGAGGAGATAGAGGAGCTGAAGGAGGAAGAGGAGGAAGAAGATCATGAAGGAAACCTGGTAAGAGATTATAGGAACTGCTAACAAATTTTGAACACTTTTCAGAGAAAGATTAAACCTAGTGTAGACTACTAAGTCTGGGTGAATACTCAGCTTACCACTGGCCAGTAGATTGTCCTGAGGTACAGTTTGCATTTATTACATAGCAGAATGTTGTTGTTTTTTTCCTTCTTCAATATCGTGCTAACATGTTTAAAATAATCTTTTCTTCAGCTGCTTCCTGGACACAAACGTGCACCATCTGATGCTAGCGTTGGAAGCTCTGAAGACGAGAAGCTTCCTCAGTCGCCGTCCACCTTGGAGTCTGTTCCTGAGAAGAGCGAGGAGGTGGCTACACCCAGACTGGCAGATGGTCAAGTTATAACTGGAATAAAGACGGAACAAGAACCTCTGAAGGTAGACGAGAACCACATCGCGGATGCAGAAGAACCTGGATCCAAGGAACAACCTGTGGACGTATCTCCAAAGGAATCTCAAGAACCTGAAGCTGGAGAGAAGCCTGTACAACCAGAGACTCCTGTTGTCTCAATAGTACAATCGGAGGAGCAAAAAGTAAAACCTGAGGGAGGGAAACTGGAAGAGGAAAAGGAGGTGGTGGGCAATGGTGAACTCATAAAGGAAGCGTCTGCATCAGACATTTCTTCATTGGAGACACCAAAAGAACCTGTTAAACAAGCTGTGCCTGATGAACCTATTCCAACATCTCCATTGAAAGAAGAAGAGAGCGTTGAGGAAAAGGAAAAACTTGAACTGGAAGAGAAGCAAAGCCCAGTGAAACCCAGGTATGTGAAGAAGGAGGACTCCGACTCTGGGATCAGTACGTTTTTATATTTTAAACTTTTTTTAACGTTTTATATAGGTTATAGATTATTTATTTATTTATTTTAACTGAGTTTAAGATGTAAGCTTTTTAAACCTATAGTCTAAAAATAAATGGTAAAAAAATATATTGTGAGTTAATTTTGTGAAAATTGTTTAAAAAGCATCATACCAATTATTAATTTAATTAATTAATTAGTTCGTTAATGTGTTCAAGTTTAAACATTTAAAACATTTTAATCTTTAGGCTACAGTGGCTGTTTGGTCAAACTATATATGTTCTTACTAAAGCAGCTGACAACAGCAGCATAGACCTGAACTTATCCATCTCCAGCTTTATTAGCAAATCCAAGGAGCCAGGAACCATTTCTCAGCAGGTGAGAAACACCTTCTGTCATTACACTAGTTCTGTGATCTTTCATTGTCTGGTTGCTAGCAGCAAGAATGAAAGCATTTCAGTAGATCCTTTGATTTAAATTTCAGTTGTTAAAAATGTTGTTAGACCTAGTTTTATACTTTTTTACATTTTTTTAATAATTTCAAACTGCTTCAATGCATCAGTTCAAAACTCTGATTCAGTGATTTGTTCATGTCGTCACTCAAAAATGTTCCCAGTGTGGCATTTTTCTTTTATTAAAAAGTTTAAATATTACAAATATAATAAATTGAAAAAAAAAATATTGTGAACACACCTGAGTTTGCTAATCAATGTCTTCAGGATCATTAGAAAATCACAGGTAGGTTTGTTTGATTATAGGGTTGGAGCTAAACTGCTGTACACCATAGATATATATACATATCTATGGTCTACACTGAATGCGGCGCGGCACGACACGACAGACAGAAAACTGCTGCTGAGTTCTATTTATGACGTATTGACCCAAATTTCAAATGATTTTCAACGGTCGCTTTGTGTACAGTGTACTAGACAGACTTTAGCTGTTGCGGCACAGACACGGTGTTACTCACCTTTCGAGAAGAAACAAAGCAACCTCAGCGTCCGATCGCAGACCTTCCGCTCCTTGAGTTCTCTCCAGCGCTGGAAAGCTGATCCGATATTTACACGGCTGATCCTACTTCTTGCCTTATTGCAATAAGCCCTCTTTTGTTCCTTATCCGCCATCTCTATCTTTCTGTCGCTCGGCTCGGCTAATGTCCGTCCTGTGCACTGAACCCTCTCTCCTCCACATCATGAGTAGACACCCCCCTTACTGCTGATTGGCTACAAGTTTGTTTTGGTACTCGCCCGACTCCGTTTTCTAAAGCTTTTTGAAAAAATACATACCCCACCTTTAAATTTCAGTCGGTTCCTCTGACAAAGCTATACCATATGTTGTGTTATATTTCCTCAGAAGAATTACACATGAGTGTGTGTGTGTATTTTTTTATTTTGTCAAACCTGCTAGTTCTAACCAAAAAACCCTGCTAGTTCTAAACAAAATTTTCTAACCAAAACCTTCATCCCATAGGAAGTGGGTTCTTTGCAGTTTAGGAAATGGGGTATGGGGCATGATTACCAGAAAAAACATACTCAACTGGCAATTTTTTTTTTTTTTTGGAAACCTGGTTAAGCAAGTAAAGGTGCAATCATTCCAGTGTGGCAAATATACGTAATATGCGAGATCTGCTTGGGGAACTTTTTCACCCTCACACAAATCTATGGAAGCTTGTTTCCGCCACAGAATAAAAAAAAAAAATAAAAATCTAAGAATTGCAATTTTATATCTCAGAATTGTGAGATATAAACTAATTAATTGTGAGATGTAAATATGGAATTGCAAGAAAAAAAAAAACAGAATTAACAATTCCCATTTTTTGAGAATTTGAGAATTGCTTTTTTTATTTTTTTATTCCATGGCAAAGACAAACATAATTGTGAGATGTAAACTTCAAATTCAGAGAAAAAAAGTCATCAACAAAAACTCAACTGTCAAGCTCTTTTGATAAATCTGGTTGAACAAGTAAAGATGCAGTCACATGTTCTGTTGTTCGATGAAAGCTTGTTTCCACCATGGGTTTAAAAATAAAACAAAAAAGTAATTGTGGCTTTATAACTTTAATGTTAGGAGCTAAGCAAAGGTGAGATGAGGCGGATCCATGGGCAAGCTGAGTTTATTAACAAATGACAGGAACACAAGAGAACAGGAAACCATGAGCTGGGAACAAGGAACACGAGCATCTACAGGGAACACAACGGCTGACAAACAAGCACTGAAACACAGAGGTGTGTATACGGAGCTGAACCAATGAACTAATGAGTAACCATAGAAACTATCAAGCAGAAGGGTGTGGTCAAATTAGTTTCCATGGCAACAAACAAGGGAACAGAGCAACAGGGGAACATGAGGGGAACATTTTTTATTTTTTTTGGTCATAATTTTGAGACGTTGTTTAAGTTGTCACGTATATTGTGGTATTAATAAGATGCATGACGCAGGAAGTTTTATAAATAATATTTTTAATAATAATAATAATCACAGAGAACACTAGCAAGGACCAATACAACATTAAAGACGCAACAAGAACCGTCAAAGAAACAACCAAAACAGGGAACACTT